GCAGGGCGCCGCCCCACAACGTCTCCATCCTCTTCGGCGGGTGTTGCTAGAAGTGCCCCTGGCCCAAGGTGCCCCCAGGATTTTCGAGGAGGCCCCCACAGCTGCAGAGCACCCCTCACGACGCCAAGGGGCCCCCAGGAGCTCCAAGGTTGAGCGAAAAGCTGGGGGCACCTTGGGCCAGGGGCACCTTAAGCAACCCCCAACCTCTGCCTGGGCCTCTCGATCTCGAACGCGCCTTTGCAGGGTTGCAATGCGCCTCCTCCCCCTCCCTCCACTCCTCCCCTTCCCGCTCCTCCTCCCTCCTTCCCTCCCCTCCCTCCTCCCCCTCACTCCTCCTCCCCCTCCTCCTGGTCTGGTTCCTCCCCCCTCCTCACCATCCCTCCCTCCCTCCTCCCTCCCTCCTCCCTCCCTCTCCTCTCCCCTCCTCTCCTGGGGATTCCCGGAGACCCTCGCAGGCCCCCCGAGATTTCTCCGGAGGTCCCCGCAGGCCGCCAGAGAGATCCAGGAGTTTTCTAGATGCGAGACTTCACATGTGCGTGGCCAATAAATCCGGAGGGAACAAAACACACAAACACAATTCACCATCGATCCCCAGGAACACATTGGAAGACATGGGAAGTGTGGGTGTGGAGGGTGTGTGTGTGTGTGTGTGTGAGACGAACACTCACAAAATATGATAATTCCTGGTGAATCCTGGGATTTGTGCGTATTTGTTTGTGTGTGTGTCCATGGGCTCCTTCAATGAAAGACGGAGGGTGAGGAGTGGGAACTAACAACACGAAGACCCTGCTCACGGATTTTCCTCACGCTCCTCCCGCTTCGCCTCGTCGCCATCCGCCCCCACGCCTCTCCCCGGGCCTGTCACGGCATCCGCCCTGCCCAGATTCTCGTCTCAGATCGGCTCCTGGCGGCCCATGGGCCCAGGATTGGCCCCTCGGAGGCGCCGAGATCGAGAACCGTCTTTGACGCGACTTTTTTCTTGTTTGGTCGCTCCTCGCGGCCTCAACTGCTGCTCCTGCTGCCCCTGCAGCTGCTGCCCCTGCAGCTGCTGCCCCTGCTGCTGCTGCTGCTGCTGCTGCTGTTGCTGCTGCCCGTACTGCCTGCCCTCGCCCCATGTCCAGTGCCCTTGCCTGCCTTCCCTTGCTGCTGCTGCTGCTGCTGCTTCTGCATGCTGTCCCTGCCCTCGCTCCTCCTCGCTCCTCCTCGCCCCTCCTCCTCCTCCTCCTCCTCCTCCTCCTCCTCCTCCTCCTCTTCCTCCTCCACCTCCTCCTCCAACTCCTCCTCCTTCTCGCTCCTCCTTCTCGCTTCTCCTCCTCCTCCTCCTCCTCCTCCTCCTCCTCCCTCCTCCTCCTCCTCCCTCCTCCCTCCCTCCTCCCCTCCTCCTCCTCCTCCTCCTCCTCCCCTCCTCCTCCCTCCTCCTCCCCTCCTCGCTCCTCGCTCCACCTCCTCCTCCTCCTCCTCGCTCCTAGCCTCTCGCTCCTCGCTCCTCGCTCCTCGCTCCTTCTCGCTCCTCCTCGCTGCCTCTGCCTGCTGCCCCTGCCTGCTGCCCTGCCCGCTGCCTTCTGCCTGTTGCCCCTGCTGCTCAAGCCCGGCCAGGTGCAGCCTCACGAGGAACCGAAGCGGCGACTGTCAACCTGCGCCCAGCCGCGCGGCCACCCAGTCATAACACGTGGGTCTCGGTGGGTGAAGGGCTGAGCGCCATGACGCGGAATATGCGTTATACACCCTCTCTCGCCAGAGCCTTCTCCTCTCCCTCCTCCTCCTCCTCCTCCTCCTCCTCCTCCTCGTCCTCCTCCTCCTCCTCTTCCTCCTCCTCCTCCTCCTCCCCATCCTCCTCCCCCCCCGGAGCAGCCAGGACGCGCTGACGAGCGCCTCGCCTAGCCCAACCCCTTGTTCTCGCCGCCGATATCCCTCGCGCTCCCTCCCTCTCCTTCATCTCTCCCTGGCGGGGGTGGTGGGGGAGAGTTATCTTAGGATCTTTTGGGGGAGCTCTGGAGGGTGTTGGAGGGCTCGAGGGGGCTAAGGGGGTCCTCTTTCCCCCTCCTGGCGGAGCGGGAGGAGGAGGAGGAAGAGGAGGAGGAGGAGGAGGAGGAGGAGGAGGAGGAGGAGGAGGAGGAGGTGGAGGAAGAGGAGGAGGAGGAAAAGCAGGAGGAGGAGTAAGAGGAGGAGGAGGAGGAGGGAGGAGTTGAAGGCGGAGGGGGAGAAGGGCGGATGATGGAAGACTGGGACGATGATGAGGAGGAGAAGGAACTGGAAGGGAGGATGATCAGGGGTATTGGAGGAGGGATGACGAAGGACGGAGCAGCAGTTCTAGGTGGTTGGCCTCTGGGGACCAGCTATCGCGTCGGCTCAAGGTTTGATTTTTGGCAGGCCCGAGTTTTTGACCGCCGCAGCTGCATCGCGGTGATCTTGCATCGGCGGCGAGCGAGGGGGGGAACCGAGAAGGAGAAGGCCTTCTCGGAACTCGGCGGGGCTCCTCAGAAGCCCTCTCGCCTCCGAGAGGCTTTCCGTGCCCCCGGGGAAGGCTTAGAATTTTTCTCGCAAGGCGGGGGGTCTTCCGGACCTTCTGAGAAGGCCCGCCGCTTCTCCTTTCCCCTCCTCTCAGGCGATCGCAACCATGGATCAAGGGGGCGTGGATTGACGGGTCCCGTCTCCATGGAGAATCGCGGATTTCCGCCGAGCGAGGCGGCACTGGCCACATTTTGGGGAGGACACCTCCGCCGATCCATGGATTTGGCGACCGCGCGCCAAATCCATGGATCGCTAGTCCATGTCTGCGCGCCCCCGATCCTCGCTCGCCGCCGAATGAAGGCTACTGAAGGGGTCCTAGCAGAAGTTGGAAGATTTGGCGAAAGTGTCCCGCCGATTCTGGTGGCCGGCTGGGTTCCTGGGTTCCGGTTCTGGGTTCCTGGTCACTGGTTCCAGGCCGATTTCGGTGGGTTCCGGGTTCCCGGGTTCCCAGTCGATCTCCATATCGCTCTTTTTATCGATCCCATTTCAAACGATCCATTGATTGGGGGTAATTCGGGTCAGGGCTAACTCGGCTTCGTTTTTCGGGAATCCAATCCTGAGTTACCCCAGACACGAGTTTCCCCGGATAACTCGGGCGCCCAAACTTCAAGAGCCGATCTGTTTTTGCTGTGTTGTTGCGCTTCTCTGGGAGGGCCCGCACCCAATCTACTTTATCCGTCCTCGTTCATCGAGCACAAAAGAGCCCCTAACCCCAATACCACGATGAAGACGTAGCTTCACTTAGGTCCCCGTCCTCGCATCAGGGATAATCGATCTGGGCGGTTTGGTCTGATACGTCTGCAGAAAAGACCCCCTAGCCCCAATGTGTTTGGGCCTCCTAACTTGGGTCCCCTCCCAAAGGGTTAGGGGCCCTGTTCTTGGCTGATCATTCCCACTTCACGTTTTTGATCCACTTCTCTCTCCTCCTTCGGCCGCCCTCCCTGTCCCCTTCCCTTCTCCTGCTGGTGGCGCACTTCGCTTCAATAACGGTCTCCCCGCTGTCACTGCTCTCCCGCCAGTGCAGTTCCCCTGCCCAGCCGCCGACGTAGAACAGAAGCTGTCACCCGCTCCTCCCCCGGCCGACACGCACGACCCCCGCGCGAGCGCCTGCGACTTCGCTCCTCGTCGGCGCTCAGACGAGGCTTGCAGAACACCCCCGAGGCCCTCCTGCTGCCCTCCCTCCTCCCTCCCTCCTCTTCCTCTCCGCCTCTCCGCCGTCTGCCTCCCTCCCCGCCTCCCTCCCTCCCTCCCTCCCCTCCTCCTGCCTTCTCCCTCCCCTCCCTCCCTCCCTCCTTCCCTCCCTCCCTCCCTCCCTCACCCGCCGTCTCCCTCCCTCCCTTCCCCCTCCCTCCCTCTCTGCCTTCTCCCTCCCTCCCTCCCTTCCCCCTCCCTCGAGGAGGAGGTGCCTGCGCAAACGTAGCCTCCCGGGGAGCTCCGCGCGGACTTCTCGGGTCGGAGCCGGGGCCCGGCGGCGCCTCCGGCGCCGCCCCCCCGGCGCGCTTCGTGCGCCAGGGAGAGGGCCAGTGCCGATCAGAGGAGTCTCGGGTATGGCCAGGACCCCGGGCAAGGGGACCCGGTCAGTGGTAGGGCCCTGGGGCCCCTCAGTTGGCCAGATTCACTAGAAACCAATTCTTCAGAAAAGAGGAATTGGGACCCGGTCAGTGGTAGGGCTCTGGGGCCCTGGGGCCCCTCAATTGGCCAGTGCCGATCAGAGAAATCCGCGCAAGGCTCGCAGACCTAGAGATTGACACCAACACCAATATCGGCGGTGTGCATCCACCGAGGGAAGAAGATCCCGATCTCGGTGATGGTGGTAATAGTTTGGCTTCCAAGGTGACCGAAATATTGCCACCAACACTGAAATCTAGGATCGTCCTCCCCATGTGGAGGCAACCCCCTGTGTTGGTGGTGATGCCCATTCCCAGGCCTCTAAAAGGCTGATTCTCTATTTGTGTGTAGTTGTTTGTTCCTCTACTCGTTCCTCTCCGTCCTCCCAACGCCAATCATAATTTTTCGTGCGGGAACTTTATGTCGAACGGACTCGCGAGTGTCCAAGAGCCCGGAGCAGGCGTCGTGGGGCCGCGGTTCGCAATACTCGCCCATCGTGGTCTCCCGTTGCCGTTCTTAGAGGTGCCAAGTATTTCTGGGGTTCTTGCCAACGGAGGATGATATCAATCACAGCGACGATAAGGAACATGAAGAGGAGGTGTCGTAGCAGGATGAGGGTAGTATCAGCATCAGGAGGACAATGATGATGAGATATTCGCCTGGAAGGTGGGTAGTATGAAAGAAGGAATGACGGGGGACGAAGAGGTAAATATCAGATGTGGAGGAGAAAGAGGAGAAGAAGGAGAGCGATGATGAGGACATGGAGTAATGCGGAATGGAGGAGAAGGGGCGAGAGAAGGGAAACAAGAGCAAGAGGTTTCGTATGAGACGGAGGCCAGAACACCATTCTCAGGACTTCAACGCCACGAGTCAACCTGACTGCTGCGTCTTGACGATCCTGAGTCGTGCCAGAACGCCATTCACGGGACTCCAGCACCGCGCGTCAGCGTAAGAGTTGCGCGGTGTCGGCTCGGAGCCCCCCACGGGGTGCCGTTCTTGCGCCGCGCGCCCGCAGTGGGCCCGTCGTCCCTGTCGTCCTTTCGTCAAGAACGCCCGCAGGGCCCAGAGAGATGGCGGGGGCGCGCCGCTGTCGGGCGCCACCTCGACGCGGAGGTCGCGGCCTTGTCCCCGCGGCCTTGGCCTCGGCGGCGGCGCTCGCCGCGGCCGTCGGCCCGTCGTCGGCCTGGAGCACCTCCTGCGGGCCAGCCCCGCGGCCCCGCCTCGCGGCGCGGGTCGCCCGCGCCGCAAAGGGGGGTGGCGCCGCCGCGGTGGACGAGGACTGGCTGCGCGACAGCATTGGGCAGGTGGACGACAAGGAAGTGGACCGTCTGTTCAGCAAGTACGACCCGGACAGCTCGAACTCAATCGACAGGGAGGAGTTCCAGGAGATCGCCAAGGAGATGAAGTACGACGCGTTCCGGCGCACTGCGCTGGCAGTCTTGGGGTCGGCATTGGGCGGCGTGTGGGTAGGCACCCTGGGCCAGCAATACCAGATCGCTCAGAAATTATTTCGCGGCTTTTACGCCTCCCCTCCTGCGGAGCGGGCCATGAAGACATTTTTCCCGACGGCTCTTCTGGCCAATGACGTCAACAGTGCCGTAGCGGACGTGCTCACCAAGCGCGGCTACACCCCCCAGAATACTTTGTACGCCCAGAGCGTGTGCCCAGACGAGATCAATTCCAAGGCCCAGGAGCTCGTTGCTCTCATGCAGAACGAGTGGGGCGAGGCCTTCGCGCTCGGCGGTCTAGGAGGTCTACCATTCGCCGGAAAGTCTGGGTTCGAGGCGTTCTTGCACCACACACCAGTGAAAGGGAAGGTCCTCATTTGTTTCGCGCCGCACGTGGGCATTAATACCGACGGCGCGGTTGGCAGCATCCTCAGGGAGGGACAGCTGAAGAATTCCACGGCCTGCGGTGCGGCGGTCGGAGCGTTCAACGCCATCAGGAAGTCTGACAGCGGGGGCAGCGATTTGGGCTCCGCGTACGACGCTCAGGAGAAGTACATCGTGGATAACATGCGCCCGCTGCTCGAAGGGGTCGAAGACTCTCAGGACAAGATGGCGTACGTGGCCTACCAGACATACAACATCGCGCGCGACCTCATGCTCGACACGCTGAAGAGTATCCCTGACATCTACGACTGGTGCGATGAGTTGACGGTCGTTGGGGGCATAATGATCAACCGCAACAGAGGCGGGGACTTCTTCCAGCCCCTCATGTTCGAGACTAAGACGAAGGACGGGGCGGCGACCGACCTATACCAGCAGGCCTTCGGCGATCGCCCCGACCTCGCCCAGATCTTGGGGAGCGAGACGAAGGCGAAACAGGTACGTGCGTCTGCTGGGTGGTAGATGTTGGCCACCAGGTGCGGGCGCTCGTACAGTCACCTGTCGCGGGGATGGGGCGGTGCCGCTCTCTCGCGCTGCAGCCGGGGGCTGCAGTGGCGTGCACGCGAGCGTACGCTGCGGAAGCCACTGGCAGTAAGCGTCTTATTTTGCCTTTAAGCATAGGCACTGTTTTTTAAGTGGTAAGGTATATGTTCACATCATTTTTTCGAGTCTCTGAGATCTCACGCAGTGGCTTAATAGCCGCCAGCCGTGGAGCAGTTATATAGGTTCTGCGGCAGCCCCAAGGGCGGCGCGATCGCGCCCAAGCTTTCGTGAGCGGGCTCGTTTTCTTTTCACTGCCGGCCACCCACAATCACGTGCCGCATTTTTTCCCAGGTCTCGTGGAGCCATTGTTTTGCCATTCAGCTGCGTGTGTCGCGTCTGACATTTTGCTTCTGCGGCTAGGCAGAGCCACTGCTCTGGCGAGGAAGCGAATGTGGGCTGCCGTTATGCGAAAAAAGTTGCGCCCTGATAGTTCCAATCGTTCCCTGAACAAGACATGATTTCTGGTACGTTCGCCATGACATCCACCGAAACTCCTGCAACGTTTTAAACGACTGTACGCGGCGCTAATGCAAGCACCACATTTTGGAAAGAAACCGCCCTCAATGTCGAAAAGTCTTGTGATATTTTGAAACGACTGTGCGCGGCTCGAAGGCGAGAGCCACACTTTGAAACGACACTGCCCTCAATCCATGACGCTCGTGCAAACTCTACAGCGCGACTGTGCGCGGCGCTCCGGCCGGCGAGAGCCACATTTTTTCAAAACGGACCGCCTTCACTCTGTGAAACTCTTTGCAAACTGTTGAAACGAATGTGCGCGACGCTAAGGCGAGAGCCACATGTTGAAAAGGCACCGCCCTCAATCCGTGAACCTCCCCGCAGAGTTTTGACACGAAGGCGCGCGGTTCTCAGCCGAGAGCCACATTCTGACAGCGGCCCGCCCTCCATCTCTGAAACTGCTGGGAGTGTTTGTGAGCTTGAGGCTCAGACATTGTGAGGGGGAGTGGAAGGAGGAGTGGATGGAGGAGGAGGCGCCGACGTGCAGGACTCGAAGAAGGGGCCCACGCACCCCGTCCACAGGAAGTGGGGAGAGGTCCGCCGTCCCGCCCCGCTCGCCCCGCGCTCTCCTCCCTCCTCCTCTGTCTGTCGATGGATCGATCGGCCGACCCAGGGATGCAGTCGATGAAGGAAAACAGGATGTTGGGAGGAGGGGGAGGAGGGGGAGGAGGAGGAGGAGGAGGAGGAGGAGGAGGCGGAGGAGGAGGAGGAGGAGGAGGCGGAGGAAGAGGAGGAGGACGATGAGGAGGAGGAGGAGGAGGAGCAGGAGGAGGAGGAGGATGTGGAGCAGGAGGGAGAGGAGGGAGGGCGGGAGGAGGAGGAAGAGGAGGAGGAAGAGGAGGAGAGGAGGAGGAGGAGGACGAGGAGGGAGAGGAGGAGGAGACGGAGTAGGAGGAGGAGGAAGAGGGCAAGTAGGATGAGGAGGATCAGGATGAGGATGAACAGATGATTCTGATGATGCTGGTGATGCTGATGATGCTGATGATGCCGATGATGATGATGATGATGATGATGATGATGGTGATGATGGTGATGGTGATGATGATGATGGTGGTGGTGATGATGATGCTGATGGTGGTGATGGTGATGGTGATGATGATGCTGATGATGATGATGGTGGTGGTGGTGGTGATGGTGCTGATGATGCTGATGCTGATGATGATGATCATGATGATGATGGTGATGGTGATGGTGATGATGATGCTGATGCTGCTGATGATGATGATGATGATGATGCCGCTGCTGATGATGAGAAGGTGGAGGAGGAGGAGGAGGTGGACGTGGATGGGGATGTAGTAGTAGGAGTAGTAGTAGTAGTAGTAGTAGTAGTAGTAGTAGCAGTCGTAGT